TTAAGCTCGAAAATTTTGAACTTTGACGACGCTTTGCGAAAAGCTCCTTCAAGCACCGCCATTTGTCTTGTGTTTTCCACATGAGGATCGCGATAGAAAACGATATTTGATTGGACGAGTCTCAAAAGGTGAGTCTGGCGCGAAAAGGTTCCTGAAAATGGAACCCGAGCTGTGATTGGCCAATTCGGAGAAAGGAATGTAGTTCGGTTGTCAGCAGCCGTTCTTTTGGGGGAGCGTTGCGTGATATCCAAAAAAAACGGCTGCGAGGGAGACTAAAGTCGAGGGGATTATTGGACAATATTCACGGAACCTGAGGCGAATAATTGTTTTAGTATAATTTCAGAGCTGAACAGAGAAATTTCTAAAATCATAACGTTTTAGTAACATATATTAACATTTTATTCTAACATTTTATATAAACCACGTGAAGCAGTTTATACTAGCGTCATATAAGGAACCGCTCGACCAATCAGATTGCTGGAAACTCTTTGCTCAGCTCTGAAATTATACTAAACAGCTATATAGGGATATATACAGCTATATAAGGCTATACAAAGCTTTATATAGCTATAGACAGCTATATACAGCTATATAGGGCTATATACAGCTATATAGGGCTATACGCAGCTATACAGGGCTAAACACAGCTATGCACGGCTATACACAGCTATATAAGGCTGTACGCAGCTATACATACGTAAACACAGCTATACACGGCTATACACAGTTATAGAGAGCTATACGCAGCTATAGAGGGCTAAACACAGCTATACACGGCTACAAACAGCTATATAGGGCTATATAGGGCTTACAGGGCTAGACACCACTATAAACAGCTATGCACGGCTATACACAGCTATACAGGACTATACGCAGCTCTACAGGGTTATACACAGCTATACAAGGCTATACAGAGTTATACAGAGCTATACACAGCTATATAGGGCTATATACAGCTGTATATGGCTATACACAGCTATACAGGGCTATATACAGCTATAGACGGCTAAATATAGCTATACAGGGCTATACACAGCTATATATGGTTATACACATCTATACATGGCGATACACAGCTATATAGGCTAAACACAGCTATACACAGCCATACACACTTGTGTTTTATTTGGTACTGGCTCTAGGTTAGCAAATGCTAATCTCTCTGTGAATATCGATGGCAAGGAGCTAACACGGGTTGCTGAGTAGAAATACCTAGGTGTAATCTTGGATGAGTCGCTTTCATGAAACGCACACGTAAATTATGTAATAAGCAAAGTTAGTAAGAGAATAGAAATTCTTGGCCGCACCAGGCGGAGCATTAGTATGCATACTACTGGTATAATTTATAGATCATTTATTCTTCCTGTTTTTGATTAATGTCCTACCGTTTGGAACTGTTGCGGCCGTACGAATTCTGATAATATAGAAACATTGCAGAGACGTGCAGCAAGGATTATCATGCAAACTAACAGCAGTGATGAAGCGCTAGCTCACCTTAAATATGATACGCTGGGACTTAGACGGGAGATTCACACGTTAAACCTTGTGAAGAAATATCTAGATAAGCGCTGCCTACAATTTTTAATGGACTACTTTTATTTTAATAGAGATATCGTACAGAGAAAGACGCGGCAAAGTAATCATCTCCGTCTTCCCTCCATCTATAACGTGTATCCCTCCAAGGATATCTGTTTTTGTAACTGTAGGAGTCACCCTAGCTAAATAAAAGTATCTACTACTACTACTACTACTACTATAGCTTTGTACAGCTGTGTATAGCCCTGTATATCTGTGTACAGCTCGGTATAGCTGTGTATAGCCCTGTACAGCTTTGTATAATTCTGTATACCTGTGTATAGCGTTTATAAATGTGCATAGCCCTGTACAGCTGTGTATAGCTCTGTATAGCTGTGTATAGCTGCGTATAGCTGTGTATAGATGTGTACACATGTGTATAGCTGTGTATGGCTGTGTATAGCTGTGTATGGCTGTGTATAGGTGTGTTTTGCAGTGTATATGTGTATGGCTGCGTATAGCTGTGTATGGCTGTGTATTGCAGTATGTATTAGTGCATAGCTGTGTAAAGCCCTGTCTAGCTGTGTAAAGCCCTGTCTAGCTGTGTATAGCCCTGCATAGCTGTGTATAGCTGTATAGCTGTGTATAGCTCTGTGTAGCTGTTTATAGCTGTGTATAATACTCCTTTATTAAGCACTCTAATCAACAAACGTGTTTAGTTACAACGATATGAACTCAGCAAGTACAAAACTAATTAACCAAATTACTAACTGACTAACTAATAAGAGAACAAACATCTATTAACAAAAGTCCTCTTGAAACGTTCAGTTCTGACAAGCGGGAGAATATAATTATGGCGCCTCTTACGTAGCGTAACCATTGGTCGCTCTGGTGGCAAAAGGTCATCTAAAGCTGTCGTAAAATCGCTGTCGGTGATCTTGGCCCACAAATTCTTATCTTTTAGAGTAATACCCTGTATAGCTGTGTATAGCCCTGTATAACTGTGTATAGCTGTGTGTAGCCCTGTCTAGCTGTGTATAGCCCTGCATAGTTGTGTATAGCTATGTACAGCTCTGTATAGCTGTGCATAGCTCTGTGTAGCTGTTTATAGCTGTGTATAGCCCTGTATAGCTGTGTATAGCTGTAGATAGCCATGTATAGTTGTGTAAGGCCTTGTATAGCTGTGTATAGCCCTGTGTAGCTGTGTATAGCTTTGTATAGCTATATATAGCCCTGTAGAGCTGGGTATAGTTCTGTACATTTGTGTATAGTCATATAGAGCCGTGTATAGCCGTGTATGGTTGTGTACAGCTGTGTATGGCTGTGTATAGCTATGTATATTTGTGTATAGCTAAGTATAGTTGTACATAGCTGTGTATACTTGTGTATAGCTGTATATGGCTGTGTATAGCCCTGTATTGTGTATAGCTGTATATAACCCTGTACAGCTATGTAAAGTCCGATATAGCTGTGTATAGCGCTGTATAGCTTTTAATAGCGCTGTATAGCTGTCAATAGCTGTGCACAGGTATGTATAACTCTGTGTAGCTGTGTATAGCTTTGAATTGCTGTGTACAGCTCTGTATAGCCCTGTATAGCCCCGTATAGCTGTGTATTGTCCTTTATAGCTGTGTTTAGCCCTGTATAGCTGTGTATAGCCCTGTATGGTTGTGTAGAGCCCTGCATAGCTGTGTATAGCTCTGTATTGCAATGATTATGGCTGTATAGCCGTGTATAGCTGTGTATAGCCATGTATAGCTGTGTAAAGCCCTGTATAGCTGTGTATAGCTCTGGATAGCTGTGTATAGCTTTGTATAGCTATATATAGCCGTGTATTGCTGGGTATAGTTCTGTATACCTGTGTATACTCATATATAGCTGTGTATAGCCGTGTATAGCTGTATATAGTCCTGTATAGCTGTGCGTAGCTGTGTATAGCTATGTATAGCTCTGTGTAGCTGTGTAAAGCCCTGTATAGCTTTGTATATCCCTGCAGAGCTGTGTCTAGCTGTGTATAGCCGTATGTAGCCCAGTATAGCTGTGCATAGCTCTCTATAGCTGTGTATAGTCATATATAGCTGTGTATAGTAATAAATAGCTGTGTATAGTCTTGTATAGCTGTGTATAAATGTGTATACCTGCGTATAGCTGTGTATAGCCCTGTATAGCTGTGTATAGCTCCGTATAGCTGTGTATAGCTCCGTATAGCTATGTGTAGCCCTGTATAGTTGTGTAGAGCCCTGTACAGCTGTGTATAGCTCTGTATTGCAATGTTTATGGCTGTATAGCTGTGTATTGCAGTGTATATTTGTGTATAGCTATGTATTACCGTGTATTGCTGTGTATAGCTGTGTAGCGCTGTGTATAGCTGTGCATAGCTTTGTATAGCTGTGTATGGCTGTATATAGCTGTGTATTGCGGTATATACCTGTGTATAGCGCTATATAGTTGTGTATAGCCGTGTATAGCTGTATATAGCCCTGCTGTATTTAACAATTATTCGCCGAAGGCGAGGTGAGTATCGTTGAATAATCCCCGAGACAAAGTCGAGGGTATTATTCGACAATATTCACCGAACCTGAGGCGAATAATTGTTTTAGTATAATTTCAGAGCTGAGCAACAGAGAAATTTCTAAAATCATAACATTTTAGTAACATTTATTAACATTTTATTTTAACATTTTATATAAACCGGTTTTATAAAGCGGTTTATATTAACATTTTATATAAACCGGTTTATAAAGCGTCATCTAAGCGGTTCCTTAGATGACGCTTTATAAACCGCTCGACCAATCAGATTGCTGGAAACTCTTTGCTCAGCTCCTAAATTATACTAAATCTGTATATAACCATATATAGCTGTATATAGCCCTGTATAGCTGTATATAGCCATGTATAGCTGTGTATAGCTGTGTATAGCTCTATATAGTTGTATGTGTTGTATGTAAGGTTAGGATATTACATTTTGGGATCCCGCAGAAAAAAGTTACCTTTTACCCCTCCCCCCTTGCTCATTGCCCCAAGTTCTTACTTCCTCGATATGTTAATGATGTTTTCCCTTAGGTGAAGCTCTGCATAATTTTTCTTCCTCAGGTTTTCGCTATTCAGTACGTTTTACGCGGAATGGTGGAGTGGAGATAGCTCCCTGGTGCAATGTAATCGTTGGGGTGCAGCTGGCAAATCCAAATGCCCGTTTAGAGTTGGAGCAGCGAATATAAATGCTGTTTACAGACTTCTGTTTTAAATCCAATAATAAAGGATTTTCTCCGGTCATAAACAGTCAATCGTTGTTCATTAGTACTGGTAATGCAAAAGAGTAAAATATAAAGACATAGGTTTTATGAGCAAGAGGCTATAATAAACTCTTGGTAAAGTCTGTTTACGAGCCTAGTGGCCCATTAGGCCGGTGCTTAACTCCGGTTTCTGTAGCATGAAGCGACTAGGAGTATTTCTACTCCCCCCTGGATGGGATGCCAGTCCATCGCAGGGTTACCCCCCAGCATTAAATTGCCGGTACCCATTTATACACCTGGGTGAAGAGAGGCACTGTGAGAGTAAAGAGCCTAAGAACACAACACAGTGTCCCGGCCGGGGCTCGAACCCGGACCACTCGATCCGGAGTCGAGCGCACTAACCATGAGGCCACCGCGCCTCCACATAATAAACTTTTGTATGAGATATTATCTTCGAAGACTGAAAGTATAGAAATGTAGTCATTGTATACCAAAACAGAGATGTTTATACGGGTTGCTCGAATAAAATCAACGAGCGTCTTGCATGTTTGGGAAAGAAGTGTCTTCGTTTCAGTAGAACGAAAATATTTCGTTTGGGTTCGAGGGCCTCAACTGATCTACCTTACCAAATTGTCACTCAGTAGCTACCCCCATCTAACCCCTTGAGAGTCTGTTGGGGCAAGCTGCACTGATCACTTGTCGAACACTACTCCGTGATGGGTTAATAACATCAGACTGTATATTTCTAGAGATCTGATTACTTTAGTTTGTTACACGAACAGTTTCGTTTCGTTGATTCCAAGCCGTAAAAATTTGCCTCTTCTTTCGGATTTAAGAATGGACATAGATACCTTGCTAAAAAATCTTCACGAAGAACTATCCTGTTCCGTGTGCATGAGAACATTCGTCGAACCAAAACAGCTACCCTTTTTACACAGTTTTTGCCCCTGTTGCCTAAGCGAGATCCTACGAACTAGATGATGTCCGACTCAGTCCTGAATGTCGAAGAGAAGTTTAAGTTCCTAAGAGCGGAAATCTTAACGATCTCCCAACTAACTTTCGCATCAATAGCCTTCTTGACGTGTCAGCCATTAAAGAGTGTAAGACTGTTGAAGTGAAATGCGTGAATTGCGATAAGAAAACTTCGCAGTATTTCTTCTGCTTCCAATGTCATGCATTGTGGTGTGAAGCCGAATGCATAACCCCTCACAATGTAATCAAAGCCAATGAAGCACACCACGTTCTGGCGCTTAAAGACTTTCAAGACAAAGACTACAAGAAAGTTCTAGAACGCCCATCCTTTTGCCAAAAGAGACACCACGAAAAGGAAGAGGTCAAACTCTTCTGCAAGATCTGTGAAGTTGCCATCTGTAGTGTTTGTACATTAACCGATCATGATGGTCACTCCATGGTACTTTTGGAAGAAGCCGCAAATGAATGCAGGATGAGGGCGCAGTCGGCAATCGAAATATCAACAAAAGAGAGTGCAGCAATGGAAGGATAAAATCCCTAAACTTTACGAAAACGAGAAGGAAATAGAGGAACAAGCCGCTGCCATGAAACGAAACGTTCAGTCGCTCGTTGAGAAAATGATTGGCGCCATTGAAGTGGAGAAGCAGGAAATATTCGACGACGTTGACATCTGAAAAGAGTTAGAGAGCGTCTTGCAGCACGGAGAAACGAGATTGAATAGCGAGTGAGAATGATAGAAATCGCCGTTAAAAAAGCTGAAGTAATGATGAAAGAAAGCTCGAACGTTGACATTGAATAGTTTGACGAGCATTTAACGAAAACCTTACTATTGGAAGTCGCTGATGAGGAACAACAAGGCAATAGTGATCTTGAAGGCCTATGTCGGCTTGTTTTCCTGAAAAACAAAGCGTTTTTGGACAAAATTCAGACCGAAGGAATTCTCTCATTTGAAATATTTCTTAGTGAGAGTAACTCGTGTCAATCAATTGCAGATGGCAAAGGAATCCATGAAGCTGTTCATGGTTTGGAAGCGAATTTTAAGCTAACATCAAGAAATGTACAAGAAAAGCTATGTTATGAAGTACGCGACTACGTAACAATGGAGATCAAGAATTGCCAAGGTAATGACTGTTTGACGAATGTGAGAATCAAAGATAACAAAGATAGCACCAGAGAGTTTAGACCCATAAGATATTTTGGAGATCACGAAACGCTCAAAGTTCCCCAGGTAGTGGCCGTCAATAAGCGAGATGAGACACAGGGAGCCCAGACAAGTGACGAGTCTGGTTGTTTATTCGAAATATAAAGGAATGTATTGGAGAATATCGAAGAGTCTTATTATCGTAAACTTATATCATGAAATGTCTGAGTTAAAGCTCAAAATAAATGTAAACCTACCTCACTTGCTGTGTATTGTCGTTTCTGTGGCTCTAAATGGCGAATTTGAGCGATTTGGTGAGTTTTGCGTCGACTGACATTGTGTTGTTGCTTTGAAATG